CTGGTGACATTGCGAAGCTTGGCAATTTGGACGGCAGGGTCATCACCGCGCGCCCCGTCTCGCGTGCTATCTGGCGCCAAGACGTTCAACTCGCCCGTCGCCTTCATGCCGCCGCGGACTTGGGCAAGCGCTTCCTCGACATCACCGCGCCCGCCATCAAGCTTACCGACGACGCCAGCTTCGCGACCCTGTCGGCCACCCTGCACCGCGACTTCGAGGCTCGCCAGCGCTCTCTGTCGCAGCAGGCAGCGAGGCCCCCGCGGAGCCACCCCGACGCCCCGCCCCCTAAGAAACTTCGGAAGGCCCTGCGGGCCTCCCAGAAGCGAGCTCTCCTGTGGGCCCCCTGGAAGCGCCGGCTCGTCCTCCGACGGATCAAAGTCACAGGCCTCGCAGGCCCGGCAGCTGTCACCAGAGAGAGAGAGAGAGAGAGAGAGAGCGGCTCAATGGCGGGCGCCCTCCGCACCCACTGGCAGCCCGTCTTCGCCGCCAAGCATGTCGACGTCGCTGCTGTGCACGAGTGCATCGAGACGCACATGCCGCAGGGCGACCCGATTGACGTGATCGCACCCACCAAGAACCAGCTGAAGGCCTTCCTGATGCGCACCTCGCCATCCGCACTTGGCCCCGACTGCCCCCCCGTGCACCGCGTGGGCCGCTCGCGACCACTCGCTCGACATTCTCGAGGACCTTGCCCGCTACCTCTGCCCGGGCGACTCCATCCCACGCGACCTGAACGACTCCGACTTTGCCTTCCTGCCGAAGGGTGACAATCTCCTTGGCGAGCTGACCGCGGATCGCCGCCCCGAGGACACCCGCCCGCTCTCTTTGAAGAACACGGACATCAAGGCTATATCAGGAGAAGCGAACAACATGATCAAGCAGCATGTTTCTGAGCGCGCACATTCAGCTCAACAGGGTTTCGTTGCCGGCAGGAACTTCGCGCAGCACGCCGTGCGCCTGGACGCCGAGATGCGCCGCGTTGGCCTCCTCGAGAACGCGGCGCAGGTGCACCCAGTCTTCATCAGCTTCGACTTCTCTGCCGCGTTCCCGTCCCTGGGCAGAGCCTGGCTCTTCACCGCGCTCCACCGCTTCGGCGTGCCTGCTGGCTTCATGAAGCTCTTCCGAGCTCTGTACTTACGCGCCCATGTCCTCGGTCAAGGTGGACGGCGTCCGACATGGGATGTTCGCGATCGAGTCGGGCGTCGCGCAAGGCTGCCCTGCTAGCGGATCAGCATGGGCGATCGCAATGGGTCCGATCATCCGCCACCTCGCCCTCACCATCGCCCACGTGGACCCTGGCTGCGACCCGCGCTCCAACTACCTGGGCGCCTGCGCTGACGACCTCGGCCTCCTGTGCGGCTCCTTTGGCCTTGTGAGCAGAGTGACTGAGCCCTTTGGCAATGCCGCCCGTCTTGCCTTGCTGTCGTTGAAGCCTCGCAAGTGCGTTGTCGTCCCTCCTTGGGCCGCCGCCACGCCTGCCACCATTGCCCAAACTCAGGCCTGGTTCTCCGAGTTTTCTCCCTCCTGGTCTGGATTCTCGGTTTCGGGGCGTGCCAAATACCTTGGGACATGCTTTGGCCCTGCAGCCTTGCTGGCTGACGAATGGCACGTCCCTGGGCAAAAATGGTGGCCGTGGGCGAATTTGCCCCACTTAGTGCAGCCTGGCAGTGATGCCACCGTGAGGCTCTATAACACGTCGGTGCTCTCGACTTTAAGCTATGTTGCCCAATTTTACCCTGTGCCCACCGCTATCGCTCAGCGGGGGCACTACATTTGCCACGAGTTGCTAAGCTTGCCGCCGAACTCGTTTCGTACGGTCGACCTTCAAGCGGTGGCAGACTGGTCTCCGCCGCCTGTTCTGCGCTCTCTTCAGGTTATGTATGTATCGGCCGCCGCCCGCTCTGCCAATCTCACGCTACTTAACGCGCGGGGGCCGCGCTTTGAACGCCTCCGAGACACTGCCTGGGTAGAACGCACTGTGCATAGCTTCCATCGCTGGATTGCTGGCTCGTGGTCGCCGTCATTCTGGGCCCAGCCGCAGGCAATCGTGCAATTCTACGAACAGCTCCGCTCCGCCTCGCGCACCTCCGTTTTCACGCCGACGATGATGCGTGACGCCCACCCTGCCGCGCAGGAAGAGATGCACGCTGCCCGAGCCGCAGACCCGCCTCGCCGCGCTCATTTCCAGCGCGTGTTCGCAGCCTCGCTCCGCCAGTCTGCCTTCGCCTCCCCCTTTCTGGTCACGCTCGAGAAACGCGTGGCCTCGTGGGGCTTCCCTCTAGCGCCCGACATTCTGGAGGAGCGCTGGAAGGCGCTCGCTGCTGCACTCGGCTCGGTGAAACCCAGCAAGCGCTGGGCGACTTTCAAGACGCTGGCAGAGTGTTGGACAACCTCGTCCCGCATGCGTGCGCTGGCTCCTCGAGGCTGCCTCTTCGGCTGTCGGGACCAGCCTGATTCATTTCCCCACTATCTCGTCTTTCCTCGCCTCCTGAGCCTCCTTTGGCCCCCTGACTCGCCTCCCCTTCTCAACGCTTTAACCCGCTGGGGCCTGGGCCCCTCCGCTGCATGTCCCCCCAGCCCCCAGCGACCTCTCGCTTCGCGAGACAGTGCGCAGGACTACTCTGGACTTCCACGTTTACAATAAGCTGCGCTCGGCTACGGGCCGCTCCCGCGTCTCTGGTGCCGCAGCGCTAACTCGATAGCGGGACGGATGGGATCTAGGGTTGATGGGCATGGAGGGATTCTCTCGCCGCTGCCCATTCCTGTGTTCGGTGGCGCGCATCGGAACAGACTTGCGTCCCCCCAGGGTACGCGCAGTCCTCCTCCTCCTCCTCCTCCTCCTCCTCCTCCTCCTCCTCCTCCTCCTTTCCCTCCTCCCGCCGCCCTCCCCCCGCCGCTCCGCCATCCTCCCGGGCGCCCTCGCCTGCAGCTGCGCCCTCGCCTTCCCGCCGCCCTGGGCCTTGGCCCCGGGAAGCCCGCGGCCCCCCCCCCCTGCGATGTGCTCCCTCTCGCCGGTGGGCGTCGCGGCGAGAAGCACTGCTGGGCAGTCGTCGCCGCGCGGTTCGCCCCGAGGCGCGCGCCGAGCGCACGGCGCGGGGGCCCCGCGCCGCGCGACACCTGGGATCAGGGGCGTTGGCGTTGCGTGCCGCGCCGCTGGCTTTGGCCCACCACGCTTTGGCCCACCACGCGTCGGCCCAGCCCCCAGGCATCAGTTTCCCGAGCGCCGTTTCCCAGCCTCCCGTTCCGCGAGGCAGAGCGAGGCGCTGCCAGCTCGCAAGGCACAGCGTGTCGCCGGGGCCGCCGCCGCGACGCGCCCAGCAACGGTTCCAGACCGTTGTGAGGACGAAGTGCCTATGTTCGTTTTCCTCCCGTTGCTGCTGCTGCTTGTCGTCATCCTTGCGCCCCTTTCTCTCTCTCTCTCTCTGTTTCTCTCGCTGGGCAGTCAGGGCCGCCCTGCGAAAAGCGCAAGGGAATCCGAGTCCATCGCCAGGCTCCAGAAGAAACAGACAGAGCCCTGGCAGACAAAGGGGCCCACAGGGGGAGTCGCGACGTCGGAGGCCGCGGCCGCAGCTGAGGCCCTCCAGGGGACGCCCCGAGGCCCCCGTGCAGAAGAGGTGCCAGCCCCCCCCCCCCGCAGAGGCTTTCTTTGGGGCGCCCCTCTCCCACGCAGCAGGGGGGGGGGGGCAAGAGAACGTCCCGAGGCCCGGGGCCTCGGCGCTCGAGATCCCCGCGCATCGACCCCGCTCGGCATGTTCGGTCCTGTGCCCTGCCTGCCCCATCCGCTCCTGGCAGGGGAGCAAGCAGCCATCACATGGTACTCCGTGAGGCGCCCCAAGAGTTTCGGAAGGGGTACAGCACCACAGACGCAAAAAGTCGTCGACTCCCAAGGACGTCATATGGAGCATATGGAAAGTGGAAGGGGAAGACGAAGGCCCATAACACAATGTATGTACATATAGGTTTAATATATATATATATATATATATATATATATATATATATGGCCGCTTTCAACAAGCAGAAGTGATGTGCAGAGCAGTTGAATGATCGCCGCATCGACGTTGCCCGTCGACGTACTTGCTCAAGTCTTTGAGATCGCTTCGCCCTCGCCCCCTTGCAGGCACGTGGTGTCGGGCTTTCGTTCTTCGCTCACCTCGGCGCGATTGGCCTGGCGCGCTGGTGGTCGCTGTCTGCGCCGTGGGTATCGCCAGTGCCGTCGACACCGCCTTCAGCCAGCGCTGGCCTTGGGCACAGCGCGGGGGAGGCTTGTGAGGTGGGGGCCCGCCTCGTGCCGCTCTCGGAGTGCATCTCGGCCGCCGTGGAGGCTCCCGAGGTGCAGAGCTGCCCCTCGCCGTGCACCCCTTGCCGGCCTGCCCCGCGGCAGGCGACGCGGGGCTTACGTGGGTGAGCCAGCTGGTCATCAGCCTGCTCGGCCTGATCTTCCTGCAGGCTGGGGAGCTGCTGCTGGGGACTGCCGCGCGGCTGCTGCTGGTGCTGAGGGGGTTCCTGGCCTCCTGCAGCTGTGGCGGCTCGGCGCAGGGTTCAGCCAGCCCGCTCGGGCCGGAGCCTGCGCAAGTTGTGGCGGGAGCCCCCACGTTCGTGGGGATCGACTTGGCAGAGCTCGCCGCTGCGCAGGCGCTTGCTAGCCAGCTTCGGCAACTACAGTCGCTGTGATGGCGGGCTCGCTCTACTTGGTGCGGTACCGCGTTGCGGGTCCGCTACTGTGGCACGCGACGACTACGACGAGGCGAGTGATCCTGGGCCCGACGTGGCAGAGGTCATCAGGATCGCGGGCCAGGGGGCGACTCCAGGCGGGCTCGGCGGAGGGCGGGTGCATCGGTTTCGGCGACTGCCGACTGCCGCTGAGGCCTGGGCCGCCATCGCGCGCGGGGTGGCTTCCGGCTTCCCGCGGCCGCCGGCGCGGGTGCTGAACCTGGAGTTGGGGGCTGGCAACGTGATGGGATTTCCCGCTGGGGTTCACGCACTCGCTGAGCCTGGAGCTGCAGCTGGACCTGCCGCCGCTGGTGGTGGGGGACCTGGAGGCGGGCCCGCTGGAGGCTTGGCGGGCGGCGTCGGCGCTCTGGTGGCTGCGCTCGGAGGCCCCGTGGCGGATGCTGCTGGCCCCGCGGCTGGCTGGCCGCCTGGAAGCGCAACGGCCCCTGTCGCGCTCGCGCCGGCTGCTCCTGGTGCTCTGGCCGTCCCGCCGCCGGCGCCCGCGGTGCTGCCACCTGCTGGCGGAGGAGCAGGCGCGCCGGCGGCCCATGGCGTGGCCGCAGTGCCTGCGGTGGCGCCCGCCGATGCCGCCCCGCTGATCGCGGCTGCCCCTGGTGCAGCTGCCGCTCTGCATACCTCTCCTGGTCCCAGGGTGTTGGCTGTGGCGTATGACATGCTTGGGCAGCGCTACGTCGAGTTTACAGAGGGGGTCCTTCGGCATATCCTTGGCCCGATTGGAGACTTTCGGGACCTCGGGCCTGTCTCTGGGTGTGTCGTTGTATCTGCGAGCGCGGCGGCACCCCTCGTTGGCAGGCACGCGATGTCCAAGACCACCTTTCGCTTCACCAATGTCCATCCTGGAGTTGTCGAGCACGAGGAGTGCTGCCGCATCCTGCAGGAGGGCGTGCTACGACCAGGTGAACGTGGCGTCGCTGACGTCATTCGAGATCGCGTGCCGCTCGCTGCAAGTTCAGGAGAGAAGGTACCGCCACTTCCTCAATGAGGATGAGGATGACGAGAGTCTCGACAGGCATTTGTTCCTCGGGAATCGGCACTCTCGAGGGAAATATGCGCGTCTGCCCGCCGTCGCAGACGGATGTGGTTGCCGAGCTGGCGCGCGAGGCGGCGCTGGCGAAGGAGCGCCGCAAGGCGCGCGAGGAACGTGCCCTCCCAATCACGAATGCCAAGCGATCTGGCAAGAAGGGCCAGCGGGGGCAGGGGGCCGAGGCGTGATTGCATTTCAGCGTGGGAGTTGGGCTGCCCGCGGTGCGCTCGCGCTTTGGCCCGTGGTGACGCCCGCTCTGCGAGGGCATGGAGGGCGGCCGCCAGCGCGACTTGTTTCCCCTGCCTGCCTTGGAGCTGACGTCCCAGCAGTTTTGTCATGGACCTGCTAGCCGCTAGCTGCTAGCCGTTGCGCGGTCCGTCGTCGCCTTCGCGATGCCCTTGCTGACGAGTGGGCCTCCGAGGGCGTCGCCGTGCTGAACGACTTATATGGCAGTTTTGGTTCCCGTTCCGACGTCAGCCTCAACGCGGGTCAGCGCTCGGCCCTGGGACATCTTCGCCAGAGTTAACGGCGCGTTGGTCCCCCGCGGGCAGATCTCCATTCAGGGCAAGGAGGCCAGTGCGCGTTCCTATCAGGCGCGCCCCGCCACTCCAGCGGTGGCGGGCCCGTCGCTCCTCTTGACGGCGACGAGATCGCCTGGCCGCCCCTCTCCATCCAGCCCGTGCACCTGACCGACTTGTCGGGGGATGCGGGCGCCTCGTGGCTCAGGGGCTGGAAGGGGCACGTGCTGCGACCGCCCCAGGCCGCTCGGAGCCTCCGCGCCGCGGGTTGCCCGCGGGGCGCGCGCGCCGACCCCCCCGCTGAAGGACACCGTTCGCGATTGCGCTACCTTTCTGAGAGAGGGCTGGCGTCGAGGCACGCTGACTTGGAAGCGCGGTCGCGGCGGGGACCTCGGGGTGTTCTTCGTGCGTCATGCAGGCGAGCGGCTGCGCATCATCTTCGACGCGAGGGTGATCAACTGCGACTTCCTGCCTGCCCCCTCTACTCGCTCCCCGACGCCCTCAGACTTTGGGGGGCTGGAGGCCGACGAGAGGGCCTTCATCGCGTCAGGAGACCTGGGGGCTGCGTTCTACCCCGCGCTGGCGCCGCCCGACATGGTCGACCGCTCCTCGCCCCCCAGCCTGGGCGCGGGACTGCTGTTGAGCTGCGGCGTCGCTGGATTGCCTGCTGGCGCAGGCGGGCCCATTGCGCCGTGTCTGCGCGTTCTGCCGATGGGATTCTCGCGGGCGCTACGCCTGTGCCAGGGTGCACTTCGGCGAGCCCTCGGCCCGGGTGGCTCTTCGCCCAGCCACCTCGTCGAGGACGGGCAGCCCGGGCGGCGCGTCGAGCGCGGGCAGCCGTCGGTGGCCGCGGGGCGCGCTGAGAGCTACTTCGCGCTCGACATCGGCGCTGGCGTCGCCGACCGCGTGGCCCGGGCCGCGCGGCAGCAGCGGGTTGATCTGGGCCCTGCGGTGCACGACCAGGGGCCCGCTTGCCGCGACTCCGAGGTCCTTGGGCTCAGCCTGTCCGAGGGCCGCTTCGTCGCGACGCGGCCCAAGTGCCTCTGGCGCCTTCGGCTCGCGATCGAGAAACTGCCGCAGGTCGCCAAGCGCAGCGGCGCGCTCATGGAGGTCTTCCTCGGCCATATCACCCGGGCGTCGCTGCTGCGTCGCGAGGCGCTCTGCCTGATCCAGGCGGCCTACGCCTTCGCTGCCGAGGCCGGGTCTGAGCCCTTCATGCTGTGGCAGAGCGTGAGGCGGGAGCTCTGGCAGTTGCGCTGTCTGCTGCCGCTGCTGCAGGCAGACCTGCTGGCGCCCTGGCGCTCGCAGGTCGTCGCCTCCGGCGCGTCGGAGTTTGGGCTAGGGCTGGTGCGTCGGCGGCTGCCTCCAGAGCGGGTCGCCGAGACAGGGCGCCAGTTGGGGCGCTGGCGACATCGCGTGGAGGGCGGCGCTCGCGCTCGCGAAAGAGTCCTCGGACATGCCGTCATCTTATCACCTCCTCCCCCCAGCTTTCTGCAGCCTTTGGACTTCCTGAGCGTCTCGGACTCCCGCTTCGACGAGGTCCCGGAGGATATCTTGGTGGAGTCGTCTTGGGCCGGGGCCGCGGTGGTGAGGATCTGAGGGCGTGAACATCTTGGGTTTCGAGGGGGAAGCACTAGGTCTTGGGGCTCGTCATCGTCTGCGGAGTTCAGAGGCTTTTGGGGGGCGCTTGGCGACTCCGGTTGACAATTGACCCGTGACCCTTGCGGCCACCAAGGGGCGAGCCCGCTCTCGTCATCTTCAAAGGCCTCTTCGTGAGCTGGCGGCCCTTAGCCCGTCTGATCCGTTCTCACGTGGGCTCCGAGGCCGGTTCTCCGGCGGCCGTTTGCCGCGGGTCGCGCCCGCCACTGGCGATGTGGCCACCTCCACCCTTGGGGGGCTGCCTGCCGCGCCTGATGCCGCGCCGCTGGGGCTCGCAGCCGAGAGGCGGACGGCGCGCGGGGGCGCGGGCCAGCCCGGCCCGCGATCCGGTGGCCGCCGGCCACCCGTCAGCCGATTGCAGGTCTTTCGCCGCGGGAGCAGCTCTCGATCAAGGAGTCGACCGAGGCTCTCTACCGTTGCGTGTGCCAGAAGTTCGCAGACTACTGCGCCCGCCACCAGGCCTCGTGGACCTCGCGGACCTCCTGAAGTCCCAGCTCCAGGCGGACGCCGCAGCGGCCGAAGGCAGCCAGCTGCTAGCCGCCCTGTTCCACTTCCCGCCGGAGGTGCAACGGGCCGGTGGCCGCGGAAGGTGGAAGGCTGCCTCGTCAATGGCCAGGTACGCCAAGGAGTCGAAGCTGCTTTGGGAGATCAGCCTCGCGCCGCTCGCCAGCTTCAGTTCCGGCGTGGTGGTGGAGCACAATTTCCAGCTGATCGTGGAGCGCGGCGTCATCCAGTCGGGCGTGGTCGACCAGGTGCCCGACCAGCTGCGGTTGCAGGTCAGACAGCTGGCCGAGGCGGCGCGCGATGGGCCTCCGAGTTTCGGCTTCCGGAGCTCCGCCCCGGCCGCCCGCCAGCGGCCCGCGGGCGGCGCAGCGGGCGCCCGCCGGGCGACCCGCCGCCGCTGAGCCGCGCCGCCGCTGGCGCTGTGCGGCGCCTGCGGCAGGAGTTCCAGGCTGCGCTGCGCAGTGCGTCTCGCCGCCGCTGGTGCATCTTCCTGGAGCTGTTCGCGGACTCTGCTGGCGTGGGGCGGCGGCTGCGCCAGGCTGGCTTCGCCGTCGTATCGCTGGACATTCAGATGGGGGTTCGCGGTAATCTACTTGCGAAAGCTGTCGAGAAGCTGCTGCGAGGGCGGATCTTCTCGGGCGCCGTGCTCGGCGCGTGGCTTGGCACGCCGTGCGCGACCTGGTCGCAGGCATTGAGGCAACCGTTGCGATCCGCTGATGCGCCGATGGGTCTCGACGCGCTTTCGCCCTCGCAGCTCGCTCGATTAAAAATTGGCAATGCTACATTCCATGTGTCCTGTCGTTTCATCGATTGCTGTCGCAAGGTCGGTGGTCCTGTGTTTTTAGAGAATCCCGACAGATCGTTGATGTGGGAGGCTCCTCGCATGATTAACCTGAGGCGTGCTCGTGATTGTTCCGAGGCTCGTTTGCATCAATGTGCCGCGCCATCGTTTCCTCCATGATCGATGCCGCCGAATCGCCGCGAGTGTCCGAGTTTTGGAGAAGATTTAAACCTTGATTCGTTCCTTGTTCAAGTTACTTTTCGGCCTGCTGCCAGATTTGTCCATCCGGGTCTGGGAAGCTCCGAGATGCGTCTGGGCGCGAATTCTTTTCCGCTCGGCTGGAAATGATGTGCCTTGCTCCAGGCACGATAGAAAAGTGGAACTGGCGATCTTGGGATCTGCGGGCTAAATATATGGCCGCTTTTAACAAGCAGAAGTGATGTGCAGAGCAGTTGAATGATCGCCGCATCGACGTTGCCCGTCGGCGTACTTGCTCAAGTCTCCCTCCTTCCCTGGCCCCTGCTTTCGCCTTTTTGCTCCCCTCGCTTCGTTCGATTGCATTAGTTGTCAGCTTTCTCTTGGGATACCTTCTCACGTTCCGCTGCTTCGGGAAGCTCCGATTTGCGTCTGGGCGCGAATTCTTTTCCGCTCGGCTGGACATGATGTGCCTTGCTCCAAACACGATAAAAAGTGGAACTGCCGATCTTGGGATCTGCGGGCTAAACCTGTGTATATATGCGAAAATAATGGGGTTCCTGGGAGTTGTGCCTATTCCTGTGTGTGCCCCTGGGCGCCGTCAGCGCTGCAGGACTCCTCTGGAGCCCCCGCGCATCGCGCGGGGGCTCCAGAGGACGAGGGCTTCCCGAGTCGGGCGGGGGCCCAGGGCCGGGGAAAAAAAACTCGCCCCAAAGAGCGCGATCGGAACTGCGCGTTTCGGAGCTCTCTCAGGGGAGGCCGCGGCGCCCGAGAGAGATTCCCCAGAACTTCTGGATCTCGGAGATCCCCGCTTTGTCCTCGTCCGATGCTGTCCTGGTCCAGGCTGCGTTTTCACCATCATCATCATCACCATCATCATCATAATCGTCGTTAGCATCATCAATATCATCAGCATTAGCATCATCATCACCATCATCATCATCGTCACCATCATTTTCGCCATCGTCAGCAGCATCACCTTCACCATCATCACCATCATCATCATCATCATCATCACCATCATCATCATCATCATCATCATCAATCACTCCGGACTTCCTGGACCGTTTCCCGAGCTAAGCGCACCATTCAGACGCGCGATGCCTTTCCCGGGAATTCCCCGGAAGTCCCGACCCTTTCCCCGGGACCGCTTCTTCGTCATGGTTCTAGTTGTTTGACAGCTCCTGGGCCTGGCGAGGGCCCCCAGGAGGCCGAACACGACGAACCCAACTCCGTCCGATTTTGTAAGGACTCGAGGGAATCGGGGATCGCACCATGCTATTTCCCTCATCTTGTCATTCGAAGGCGAGCGAGGGGGAGACGTGAGAAGGAGAAGACCTTCTCAGCAGGCGGCGGTGTTTCTCAGAAGCCCTGGGACCTTTTGACAAGTTTTCTGTGCCGCCAGGGAAAGCTAAGACAACTTTTTAGAAGGCCGGGAGACTTCCGAGCCTCCTGCTAAGGACTTCTCCTTCCCCCCGCACATGCGACGTCCTAGGACCTTCCCCCCAGCCATGCGCGGTTTCCCGAACTCTCGACCCTTTCCTCAGGACCAGCTTTTCATCCCCAACCGTTCTTGGGCGGTCCCTGGGCCCAGCCAGGGACCCCGCAGGCCGAAGACGGCGAATCGCCCCCCGTCCCGTTCTTCTCCACGGCGCGAGCACGTCGGGGTCCCCCCCCTCCGTCGCTCGCTGCCGAGACACGGGCCCGCCCTGCAGCCGGCGCCGCGCCCCTCCCAGAGTCGGGGGCAACGGCAGGGGGCGGGGCGGGCGCAGGTCGGAGGGCACCAACTATACACCAACACCGATCCTGGCCAGGATCGGTGTTGGTGTATAGTTGGTGCCCTCCTAGCAGGGGTGGACGCAGTGACCACCCCCAATGGCCCAGCGATCGCCAAGGGGGGCGCCTGCTGGCCCCAATCCCCGCCCGGGAGCGCTCAGGGGGTTCGCTCTTGGGGGCCTCTCGCCGATCTGTCGGCGATGTAGCGCCGATTTCAGGAGCGAAAGAAGGACGTACATGTACATGAATCCACGCTGGTTTCGAGAGTACGCATTGTCCGAAAGTTCGTATCACGCGGCCGGTCTCGCAGATCGAGGGGCCGTGTTCATGTACATAGCTGGGTGCGTACGTCCTTTGTGGGCTCCCTACGATTCCAGGTCGATGCTCCACTCCCCCCCCCCCTCCTACGGTCATGATCCTAGGCTTAACGCGCAGCTGGGAAGACGCATCTGCACGCTGAGTGCTCCGCACTCGGCTCGTATTCGGCGCGGTTGGTACTCAGCGTGTCTATCGGAGGGCTGTTTCACCCGACCCCGTTTGGCGTGCACGCCCCTGCGCTGCTCAGCGTGTCAACGGTTGCCGTTCCGCAGGGCCCGACATCACACACACGCCCAAAAAATAGGACCATGACCGTCTGCCTGTGTCCATCCTGCAGTGGAGGCCCGTGCCAAGAAACACCCTCCTTGCCTCCAGGGTGCCCTGGGTTTCAGGGGTTTCGACGGCTTTGTCATGGAGCGTGGCGTTCCCACGACAAATATCGATTGGCGTCCTGGGGTCCCAGGGTCGGGTTTCTTGCGGAAGGTGGTCGAGCCCCTAACTTCAAGACGTGGCGAAGCATCCTGGCTCGCCTATAGGCTCACCAAAGAGTGTTCAAATAACCTTTTGTGGTTTGCTTGAAACGTTCTGAGAACATTTCTGGCGGAGTCTGTCTTGTGTTCACACATCTGGTTCATGTTCCTAGAACATTGTTTCTGTTATTGGGACATTCTTGGGTCCTGAGCACATATCGTGGAGGCCTATAGGAATTCCCTGGACGGTCGGCCCCTCGTCAACTATTGTAGGACCATGGCCGTGTGCCTGTGCCCCCCCCCCTGCCGCTGCCCCTCTCGGAGAGGGAGGTGCTGGAGCTCGTGCCCGCGTCGGCGGGCCGCTCGGCGCCCCGAGCCTGCAGGAGGAGGAGGGAGGGAGGGAGGGAGGGAGGGAGGGAGGGAGGGAGGAGGAGGAGGAGGAGGAGGAGGAGGAGGAGGAAGAAGTGGAGGCGGAGGAAGTGGAGGAGGAGGAGGGGGAGGAGGAGGAAGAGGAGCAGGAGCTGGAGGAGGAGGAGGAGGAAGAGGAGGAGGAGGAGGATCAGGAGCAGGACAGAGGGTGGAGGAGGGGGGGGGCGGCATGCCCGCGCTCGGCCCCGGGCCGGACGCTCTCGCCTTGGGGTGGGGTCTCTTTCGGGGGGGGGGGCGCTACAGTCCAGCCAGCAGTGGCGAAGCGTCCTGGCCTCTGGCTGCCTCGATGCGCCCGCCCGTGTCTTGGAACGCAGCATGTGCCGCGTGTTGGCTCGGCGTCGTGGCCCACGCTGTGGCGGACGTATCGCGTCATACCTGCGTTTTCGGTCTGCTTGTTGAGATCCGTGTCGACACGCTAGGTGTTGCGTGCGTGTTGCGGATCGGGGCAGCTAAGGTCCTGGGATGCCTATAGGCCCACGAATCGGATGTTCTGAGAAGCTTGTGTGGCTTGCAGGCTATGCTCTCGGAACAGTTCTGGCTGAGATGGGCTTCTCTGAAGTCGTCGGCTTGATGCTCTAAGAACACGTTTATGCCATTCGGGTACTCGTTTGTTATAGGATCATGTCGTTCTAGGCCTACAGGGAATGCGAGGATGGTCGGTCCCTGTGCAATGAATGTGCCCCTGGCCCAAGGTGCCCCCAGCTCTGCGCTCAGTTTTGGAGCCCCTGGGGCCCTCTGGGCCTCGTGAGGGGTGCCCCAGAGACCGCGGGGGCCTCCTTGGAAACCATTGGGGCACCTTGGGCCAGGTGCAACACCCGGCTCTTCTGCGGGTAGACTCGAGATGGGTACGGACAAACATGGGTGCGCAGCACCCCGAAGTCGCGGATAAGAGTGGGGGGGCGGCGGAGACGTCTGCATGTTGCGAGGCTCCGAAGAAGCCCGCCGCAGGCGCCTAATTGTTACAGATTGTATAGCGAGCCCGCGGCAGGCGCAGATTTTTCTTTATAGCCATGTGGGTATGTCGCGGGGTTGGTCGCGGGTGGGTCGCGTGGTGGGTCGCGGGTGGGTCGCGGGGTGGGTCGCTGGGTGGGTCGCGGGTGGGTCGCGGGGTGCGTCGCGGGTGGGTCGCGGGGGGGGTCGCGGGTGGGTCGCGGGGGTGGGTCGCGGGTGGGTCGCGGGATGTGTCGCGGGTGGGTCGCGGTTTGGGTTCCGGGTGGGTCGCGGGGTGGGGCGACGACAACAAAGAACAGCAACAACGCAACAAACAGAATCCGCACCACGGATCCCCACTCCAACCACGCACCCAGGGACAATGAATGACCGTTCGGCCCCTTCACTCTGACGAAGACACACAGCAGTTTCTAATCATTTTGATCGCGATTCGCTGTCGGTGTCGCCGCGGGCGGTGTCCATTTGAGACAACATCGTCTGCCTGACAGCGGCCTTATTCGCATTTGGACAACGTTTGCTGTTGGACATTGCACCCGGTTTTCCCGTACACATTACACATTTCGGGCTTCCAAGTTCTGAGCCCCCTTGGGCGTCTGTCGAACCCAGACCCCCGTCGCGTCGCGACAAGATTGACGACGGAAGTGTTTGTCACTTTCGGCCTCTGGGGGCCCTCGCCAGTCGCCAGTCTTTAGGACCGTCCAAAATCATCCAGGATGAGTGGGCCCTGGGAAGTGGGTCGAGACCCCTTGGAGTCCACGTTGTGAACAAATCACGAAGTTGCGGTCCCGGGGGCCGTCGACACACAACGGCGGTCCTCCCTGGCGTTTTCCGTGCTCTTGTTGGGCCTCCTGTGCGGCCGCCAAGCGGGCCCACCGATCGAGCCAGGCTCCGTTTTTGCCCAAACCGAGCCTCGGACGCCGCGTTTTGCTGAGAAGGGGCCCCTGAGATTCAACCCCTTTGGCCTGGATGGCCTTTCGAAGACCTACTAGGATCAAGGAGGATGTGGGCGACAATATGAAGAGTATGCTGAACAAGTATTCCGCGGAGGCCGAAAACGGCGAACAAAAACGTCGTTTTCATCCTTGTCGAGGCGCCAGTGGATCTCTGGCAGAGATCCTGCGACGACGATGACCAACACCGCCACCGCCAGAGGCCGAGCGTCCCGTGGGCCCTCCGAGCACTCCGCTGCGCCTCACGATTAGGCCGGGTGGTACAGGGTCTGCCGCAGGCTGGCCCTTTTTTTTCTGCGCCTCCTTTTCGTCCTCTTCATGCTCTTCTTCCTCCCTCCTCCTCCTCTTCCTCCTCCTCTTCCTCCTCCTCCTCCTCCTAGTTGGCATTCTGGCTCACGCGCCGCCGCCGCTGGGTCGCCCCGCCGACCCGCCGCCTCGCCGATGCCGCCGACGACCGACGCCCGCTCCGCGAAGGCGACGCTGGACGCTGCGCGCGGCGCAGTGCTGGCGACGCACGCGGCGGCTGGGCTTGCGAGCGGCCAGCGGGAGGCGGTACGCCTCATCCGCGCCGCCGAAGGCCTGCTGCGCACGGCGGTGGCTGTGCTCGCCACGCCCTCCTCCCCCGCGCTCGTCGCGGCGCCCCTGGCGGATCCAGCGGCTTCCTCGCGCAGGAGGCGGCGGCCCCGCGGCCGCGGCGGCTCGAAGGGCGGGGACGAGAACGGCAAGCACTACATCGTCGCTGACGGCATGGACATCGACAAGGGGTCGGCGGGCGAGGTGGCCACGGGGGCTGGCGCCCCGCCTCAGCCGATGCTGGAGGACGACGCTTGGGCCGACGAGCTGCCCGTGGTGATGCAGGCTCGTGGCCCGCCTGCCAGCACAGACCAGCGCGAGGGCAAGGGCAAGAACGCGGGCAAGGGCGGCGAGAGCGGCGGCAAGGGCAAGCTTGGCCACCTCGAGGTGTGGCAGCTGAGGAACCTCGTCGTCCGCCTGCGGGAGCGCGCTGGGCTGCCTCCCGCTCCCGAGACGGCCCCCTTCGACCACGGCGTGCTGGTCGCAATGGCCGTCGAGCTCGAGGAGTTGGCGGCCTCGTCCGACGGCACGCGTGGCGGGGGCTCCGGAGCGGCTGGTGGCCGTCGAGCGCGTGGTGGTCCACGTGGTGATGGTCCAAGGCCCGGGGCGGCCGGCCGCGGGAGGAGCAGCGGGGGGGGGTGGTAGGCGGCCTCGCCGCTTCGCGTGCAGGGCCCTCGCCCCTTCCCCCTCCCGCGGACATGGACGGCATTGATAAGTCCGTCCACGTGTGAGCTCGACTGCATCGAGTTCGCGGTCGGGGGGTCCTGGCACCTCAGGTGGTGACCAGGCCCCCCGCGGCGGGAGGCGGGGTACGCGCGCCCTCCTGAGGCTCGGTCATCCTCCTCCTCCTCCTCCTCCTCCCTTCTTTCTCCTTATAAGTAACTTCTCCCTGTCGCACCCCGAGGCAAGTTTTAGGGCGGACCCCGCATTTCGCCTGAGCCTTCCGCACCATAGACCCTGAAACTTAAAAATGACAGTAGCTTCACAGATGGAGGGCGGGTCGTTTTCAAAATGTCTCTCGCCTTAGCGCCGCGTACCTTCGATAAAAAACGCAAGAGATTCACTGATTGAAGGCGGGCGCTTTTCAAAATGTGGCTCTCGCCCTAGCGCCGCATGCGTTTGTTCTTTTTTGTTTAAGTGTAAGGGTTTCACGGGTTGAGGGCGGCTCTTTTTCAGAATGTGGCTCTCCCTTTAGCGCCGCGGGCATTCGTTTTTAACAGTTGCAAGAGTTTCACATATTAAGGGCGTGCGGTTTTCAAAATAGGGCTCTCGCCTTAGCGCAGCGCACATTTGTTGAACACAATTTACAAGGGTTTCACGGATTCAGGGCGTGTCGTTTTCAAAATGGTTCTCGCCTTAGTGCCGCGCACATTCGTTTAAAAACGTGCGAGGGTTTCACGGATTGAGGGCGTTTCCTTTTCAAGTTGTGGTTCTCGCTTTAGCGCCGTGCATATTCGTTTTAAGCATGGGCAGGAGTTTCCCGGATTCCCATGATCAACGTACCAGAAATTGTGGTTTGGAAGGATTCAGGGCGATGCAGGTGCAACCCTTATGTTGATTCGCGGTGTCGAAGTCTCAAAAACGGCAGTCTGGCACGATTCCAGAGGGTCAGGACGCAGCAGTCAGGTTGATCCGTGGCGTGAAAATCCTGGGAATCATGTTTTGGCATGCTTCAAGGTCTTCAAACGGTTGTCTTCCAACGAGGCAGCTCCCCTAATGGAGATGAGCCGCTGTAGGGGCCTGTGAAGAGGGAACTTGAAGCGATGGTTAATTCCATTGTCGTTGATGACTCTTGGGTTTACACTGGTCCTCCTCCTCCTCCTCCTCCTCCTCTTCCTCCTCCTCCTCCTCCTCCTCCTCCTCCTCCTCCTCCTCCTCCTCCTCCTCTTGGGAGTTGTAGCATAGGTGCCCATTATCCTCAACACTGGCGAAATTCTGCTTTCGTCATTTTCTCAAGCACTAGCGGACGGTTGCTCCAGGGGGCAGGGGCTGCTGGGGTAGGACAGCGGACCTTTCTCTCCCTTTCCCTCTTGGCCGTTTTCTTACCGCTGCGTCCCCCCCGCCCGCCGTTGGCAGTGCCACTCCTCTTCCTCGTCCTCCTGACCAGCCAGGGCATGGTGGAGACCCGCTTCCACAGGGGCTTTTTAAACGCGGTCTTAGCTAAACGAGGGTTTCGGCCTTTTCGTGTGCCCCCGTTTACTATGCCCCCGTCTACAGCGCCCAGGGCCTCCGAGACGGGAGCATGGCCACGCGTGGAAATCGGCGTTCCCCGTGCCCACGTTTGCTGTGCCCCCCGTCTCTGGCGCCCTGATTCCATTGGCTGGGAAGCTGGCAATCAATTCGCCGGCATGGGCCGCGATTCTGATTCGACCTGATTCGGTCGGTCTGGTTCGCTGGCATCGGCTAGGGTCGGGGCGATTCGCTGGCGAGCTCACTTCCACCAGTTGGGAA